CCGCCGCTGGCACCGCGGCGCCGCCGTGCACACGGCGGCGGTGACGGCGCCGCCGTGGCGCTGCTGCCTGCCGGCGGCGACAGCGGCGGCGCAACAACACTGCCCTTCAGTTCCGTGTCGCGCCTCCGCCGGCCGCCTTGGCCGACCTGGGCGTGGCCAGGCCGCCGGCAAGCCGCCTCCAGCGCCGCCGCCGCCGCAAACCCCGACCAGCTGTTCAGCGCCAACAGCAGTGCATCGAGCATATTGGGGGAGATGCTGGCGGCAACGCACGGCTTGCCGGGTGGCGGCGGCGGCACGTCGCCCTTATCAACACGCTCCGCTGCTGCCGGGGCGTCGTCGACGGGGGCCCCCACCGTGACGCCGCCAAGGTTGTCCTGGGAGGAGCGCCACTGGGACCAAGAAGCAGCCGAAGTTATTGGTCGCGGCGGCGGCGGCGGCGGCAGCAGTAGCGCCGTCGCTCCCGTGTACCGTGAAGGAGGTGGCGGTGGCGATGCAGCGTCGGATCTGGCGGCGGCGGCGCAGGAGCAGCAGCAACAGCAGCAGCAGCCGCTGCTAGGGCTGGAACCGCTTTCGCCGCCGCCGTCGGCGGCGGCGGCCGGCGGCGGCCGGACAGGGGCATCTTCAGTACTTAGCAGTAGCGTGTCGGCGGTGGTGGCGGTGGGCGGGTGGCTGGGCTCTCAGGCGTCAGCGGGCTGGGGATCTGCCTGGGGGGTGTTGGGGTGGTGGCGGTCGCCTGGAGCGGTGGCAGCACCGCCGCCGCCCCCGCCGCCGCCGGCAACGGCGCCGGCAGCAACGCCGGTAACGGGTGGACCTGGCCCGTAGCCGGGATTTGTGACGCGGAGAGCTGTTTAGCAGCAGTCCTAAGGGTGAAGAAGAAGATGAAGAAGATGTGCAAGCGGGGACATTTGCTGTTGGGGTTATCTAACCTGACTGACTGACTGACTGACTGACTGACTGACTGACTGACTGACTGACTGACTGACTGACTGACTGACTGACTGACTGACTGACTGACTGACTGACTGACTGACTGACTGACTGACTGACTGACTGACTGACTGACTGACTGACTGACTGGCTGGCTGGCTGGCTGGCTGGCTGGCTGGCTGGCTGGCTGGCTGGCTGGCTGGCTGGCCGGTGCCGTCATCCAATATTATGGTAAACGGCACACGCCTTGACCCGAACGGTGACCTCCCCGGCGTGGAACACCTCCGGAATTCACCCAAGGTGGAATCGCACGTCCACCGAGCGTCAAGCCTCTTCGCAAAATGCCCCAGGTTGCTTCCCAGTAGCAGCTTGAGTGTCACGTAGTGCGCCAACAGATCATCCCCGTGCAGATCAGCCTCTGGGGGACCAACGCCCAGGCTGGTAAGGAAGGTCATATGGCCTTGCTCCCCCAACATTTACACTGGTACACTCTTGCCCTGGCAGCAGCTTCACTCGTTTGTGGTTCGTCTTTCCCCCCCCCCCTCATATGGCCTTGCTCCCCCAGCATTTTAAGTGCTGCCGCCAAATGCAAGGCCCAGGTCATCGAGGAAAGCTCTATAACACTGTTATGTGCCCGGCCTTTTCACATTGGAATTCCAAAACCTAGGCACTAAGTTAGCCCAATCACTTGAAATGGCCTCTGTGACAACTCGCGGTACAGCAGAAGCATAGTCGGGCTCCTGGCCCCACGCACCTCAGGCTTACAGGCATCCAGTCAAACTTATCGGAGCCTAGTTAGGCTAATCATCGCCAAAACGGATGAAACAGAATTGCACGTAGCCCAAATGAAAAGATCTACACGTTGATACGAAATTCATTTCGGGCGTTTGAGTTCTGACCTGATCACAGTTGGGTTTTTAGGTGCATGGGTATTAGGGTTTGTCATGGCACTCTCAAAGTTAACATTAATAAATTCAGGATCCTGCACTTTCCCCCCGCCCAGAAATATAGGCATGACAAGCGCATCATAGAGGGACATGCTGAACTTAGGTAGAGGAAATTTTCTTGTCGCAACAGAGAGAGCAGTCTGGCCAAAAGTGGCTCGCGTCCCTGCCGCGGATAAAGCCGGTTACTGCAGGCGGGAAACCGTTGGCCTGTCCGTACTGCAGCATAGGTAACGACCCATTCAGTAAAAAGTAACAACCGCACACAACATAGCTGCCACCAACCAATTACGTCTTATATCCCATATTAAATTAACTCCAACAGCTTTTCCAGTGTCACAAGACGAGGGGGGTTGCGGGGCTGTAGAACGGGTTATCTCTCACCCTCTCGCCTCCCGCCCTCCACTCCATAAAATCAACGCCGAACCAGCCCGGCCAACAACGTCAACACCACCCCTGGTGTACGAGGGTTTAATTCAACGGTGATGTATACATTCAGAATTCCTCTGCAAATGATACGATTGGAGTTAAGGCGTCTGGAGCTGTAATAGTACGACGCGACGCCAGTACGGCCCTCTGTACGGCATTTTAAAACGTTTTGTTGCTTCGGCGAAGCAACGGAACTGCTGAGATGATAGAAGCCGCCAATGAAATTGTGCAGGGGGTTCTCCGAGAGGGGTTGCGTACAGCAGGTTGCGTCACATGTCGTACATGGGCAAGATTACCCGTACAGTCAGCGGGCAGAGACCGGGAATCTTCAAAACCTCCAAGGATTGCGTTCTTAATCTCAATTCTTAATACCCGTGAGTGCCAGCTGTGCGATATACTTTTATCCATCGTGATGTTACGGATGAGAAGGACACACGCATGTATGTATGCATGTATGTATGTATGTATGTATGCATGTATGCATGTATGTATGCATGTATGTATGTAACGACGTGATACATGTTGCGCTGCTCCTCTTTGGTAGGATCTCTGGTTTTTAAATTTGAACGTCTGTCTGTGCGGCCATTCCCGCGTAGATTTACTAGGTTTGGAGACCGCATATACTTCAAGTTAATAAACAGCGGCGTCACGTTGGGAGGAAACACCACATTGGGGATGTGAGCACCGGCCGCCCAAACCACAAGCCCAAGAAGGGCACCCACAGGGACAGCACCATGGAGAGGCTTAGGAACGAAACACAGCTGCCGCCAGAGGAGCAATGCGCTCTAGCCGGTGAATCCGAAACATATCCACAACAGCGGCAGCGCCGCTGCTGCGCCTGCCGCGGCGTGCTGTACAACCTGGCAACGACCCCAATCCGCGATTGCGGCTGTGGCTGCTGCTGCTGCTGCTGCAGCTGCCCGCCGCGGCCTCGGCGGCGGCAGCAGCTGGCCGACTGGCGGTGAAACAGTTCATCAGCAGCCGTGTCATTCCCACCCCCTTAACACTGCCTCCGCCGCCGTTGCTGCTGCTGCTGCGTCGGGCACCACAGCCCTGTGCGCTTGGCCTACGCGGGGACTCGCTTGACGACGACGATGATGATGATGATGATGATGATGATGGTAATGATGAAGGATGTTTTCTATGATGCGGAACCAGAACGTGGAGCAGTCCACACAGCAGCGTGGGCCTGCTTCGTGCGGTTTCGGCTGCAGCCGCAGCCATGGCAGCACCGCTGCCGCCGCCGCCGCCGCTGCTGCTGCCGGTACGAGTCCAGCTTAATCGATGCTTGTACGGCAAGGGGAACGCCCTCGGAGCCACATCAGAAGAGCTGCCATCCTGCGAGGAACGGCACGCTGTACGGCACTGTGTACTGGCTCTCACCCCGCCATGACCCCCCTTCCCCTCTCCTTCCGCCGCCTCCAAGGTGCTCTGTGTGCTGGGGCCTCCCGTCATCATGCCGCCGCCTCCACCGTACAACTCTTCTCTCCCTGCCGTACTCGCTGCTGCTACTGCCGTCGCCGCCACTGACAGGGGAATACGCCGGGGATACGTGCCTGCCATTGATCCGCCGGGCTCAGGTACCCCGCAGCCGTTGCTGCCGTTGCATATGGGACTCGAACCATCGTCCTGGTCGCGTCCGGTACCGTTGACGACACCCGTGGTGACGGCGGTGGCAGCAGCGGCGCCGAAACCAGCCCCTGGCGCATTCCGCCCCGAGTTCAGGTTTGCACCGCCGCCCCCACCGGCGTTACCATCACCGTCAACCGCCGCCGCCGGGGAACTCTCCCTGGAGGCCTTTTGTACGGCACCAGATCTACGTCCCAGCCCACATCCAAACCCAGGCACATCAGCGTCGTGAGGAGAAGCAGCGGCGGTGCCGCTGGGGAAGATATCCACGGCGCCGCCGCCGTCGCATCCGCTGGCGACATCCAGTCCTCGAGCCGCCGGTGAGCTGCGTCCAAAAAGTCTGTACGCTGCACGCCGCTGCACCGGCGACGGCAGTATGGCAATGCCGTGAATTGGTGACCCCGGGCTACCGGGGCACATGTCCAAGGTGTCTGTGCCGTACATTTGGTGCGGGGACAGGCTTGCAGCCCTGCCGCCGAGAGGACTGCGCGGGCCGCCGCCGCCGCCGCCGCCGCCGCCGCCGCCGCCGCCGCCGCCCTCAATGGCGGCAGCGGTCGGCTGACCCGCGACAAAAGAGGAGGTACGAATGCTGTACGGGGAGGTGCGGGTGGAGCGGTCCGGAGCAGCCGTGTATGCCCTCCTCTTCAGGGTGGAACCCCCCTCCCCAGCACCGCTGACTGCACGTGAGGTTCAGCAGGTCCGATAAGGCGTACGACAAGTACGGCGTAAAAGCACTGACATCTTCTCTAGCGCTGTGTTTTGACGAATAAGTAGGCCTTGTAACGGAAAAGGTTACTTAGTTCGGACGACAACACCGAAAGAAAGGAAAACCTGGCACGAGCTCAGCCCCCTTCCGTTTCCCTCCCATCCTCTTACACCTTTCAGGACGGCAACTTACTTGTGGACCGGACGCGGTCCGCCCACCGCTTCATAGAGCTGAATAACGTATCACCAGCGCTGCCGTACCCAGCCACCCAGCCGCAGCCGCTGACAGCAGTGGGGCTGCTGACTGATGACGCATCGGCCGCCGCCGGCCATGGCTGCCACGGCGGTGTGCCGTACCCCGGCGGCCTCGGGGTCACCTGTTCCAGGAGCGCCCGGAATGCGGGGCCCCAACCGCCCCCTCGGCCGCCGCCGCTGCCGCCGCTGATGCCGCCGCTGATGCCGCCGCTGATGCCGTTATCAGCAGAGGCGCCGAGGAAGCGGGAGCTGCTCGTCGCTAACCGGTGCCGTAGCTGCAGCTGTAGCGGCTGCAGCGACGGAAGCGACAAGGGCCGTGGCTGCCGTAGCAGCGTCGGTTGGTCTGGCGGTTGTGCCTGCAGCCCGTTGCTGAAGAGACCGTGTCGTAATGGCAGTGCGAGCCATTGCCGGTTGGCTCTAGCAGTAGTAGCAGTCGCAGTCGCAGTCGCAGTAGCAGTAGCAGTAGGAGTGATGGTTGCTTCCGATGCGAGGAGGACAGGGGAGCCGGGAGCTGGAGGGGAACCAGGGCAAGGAGGGGTGGGGGGACACATCGCACACCGCCTCAGGTAGCTGTGCAGCTCCCTGCTAGCGAGTCATCTAATTACTCGTGAAAAGGCCTTTCATTCATACCCGTTCTGCGCTGTACTACCCCACCACTACCTCCAACACCACCGCCAATGTCGCCGCCGCCGCCCTAACCGACGAAACGACCGACGGACTGACGGACTGACGGACTGACAGACTGACGGACTGACGGACTGACAGATGAGACTCTGACAACGAAACGATGCCTGGTTTCAGAGCACATGGCTAACTGGCGTGCAGCTGGGGCCTAGAGTACAGGGAATCCTAGCGGCGACACGGCAGGTAACGTAAGGTAATGGTGCCATGTACGGTACCTCGCAACGCCGTACAACCACTGGGTCACGCACCTGCAGTAGTAGCACCGGGCCCTGCTGGTGTGGTTCCTTCCACGACATCATCGCCGCCCAGCAAGGAAATCTCCGCCGCAGCCTCTTCCACCGCCTGGAGATCGCTGTCCCAACATTCAGGCTTGACAAGTACGGATGCCGGACCGCGCTTCGCCATCTTCGGCGCCATACGCAACAAACCGCCGTACCCAACCAAAACGGTATTGTCAGCCCCCACGGCGCCGCCTCCAACGCCGCCCATGCCACGCAACCTAGGCAGCCTCGACAGCAGCAGCGTGTCGTGCAAGTCGTACAGCTCCGTACATCGCCAGCCGGCGCTGGACACCGTTAGCGCGCCGTACCGCCCCACCGCCGACGCGTTGCTGGATGCGGCGCTGTTGGCGGTCCCGCCGCCGCCTGCACCACGAGCCCCTGTGTCTCCAAAGCTCCTCATGTGTGAATAGTTATGTAACTGATACTGCTGCTGCTGCTGGTGTTGCTGCTGGTGTTGCTGCTGCTGCTGCCGCTGCTGCTGACTTTGCGTGTTCCTATGACTCGGTGGCAGTGGCGGTGGCGGCACTGCGGGGAGGAGATGGGCTGCAGCGGCGCTGTCCCCATCCCCAGCAGTCCGCTCGCAGTCAATGCAACTGCCGCCGCCGCCGCTGCTGCTGCTGCTACTGCCAGAAGCGGCGCTAAGTGCGGACCAGTTGGCCTGCAGGCATGCCACCGCCGTCGTCATGAAGCTCGCCATGTCTGCCGTGTGAAGCTCCAGACCGTCGCTGAGACTGAGGAACCCGAGAGGAGGAAATGGTGTAGGAAGCTCCGCCGCCGCTGCCGCCGCCGCCGCCGCCGGCTCCGGCGCTAAGTTAAGGCTGCTGGTGCCAGCTCCGTCAGCAGCGGCGGCGGCGGCGGCGGCGGCGGCGTGGGTACAGATGGGCGGCGTGGAATAGAAAGGCAGCTCGGTCTCGCAACGATTTAGTAAGGCGGTTGTGGTACCAGTTGGGGACGCAGCGCCACGTGGTAGCGGCGGCGGAGCGCTGGCACCGGCGGCAGTGCAGGCCCTCATCGGGGTTGCCATCACTCCCACCTCCCCCGGCGGTACCGCCACCACTTCCTTCCGGATGATGCCATCGTCAAAACTTAGGGCCAGGCGCTGCTGGGAGCCGGCGTTTCGGTTGAAAGTGCCGTCCGCGCCGTCCTGTGCCGCATGTCCGCCTCCGCAGCCGCTGCTGGCTCTAAAGCGGCGTTGTACGGCAGCTACGATGGCCGCTTCCGCTGCCTGCAATGAAAGTCGTACGCGCGAGGTTGAAGACTGTTCCTGCGTTGGGCCGCGGTGTTGAAAAAGTGCAAGTAGTAGGGGACGTCAAATGTGCTGCGGACCGCGGCGCAGATAGTAAGCGCAGGGTCCACAATGCCTTAAACCTATAAAACTTCAACTGCAATAATTAATTTCCAACATGATGTCAACGTGTTCAGAGCTGTTGAACTGCGTGCCACCTACCGGTGTACTGCTCCTATCGTAGCCTGCTCGCTTGCCGATGTCCTCCACAGGGCTGTTTAATGCGATTGACGTCCTATTACTAAATGAAGTATGATGTTTAGGCATGTAATCTTTCTTTAAGTTTATGTCCAGCTCAGTAGGTAGTCGGGGCATTTCTTCTTCGTCGGCAAGTCCTTCCACGGAGCGACTTTGAAGCCTAAATGTCGTAAATGAAAGATTGGTAATAGTCTATTATTACAGCAATTTCTGTTGCTTCTTGACGATGTGGCCTACAGTGATAAAAAGCGACCGGCAATTGAATCGCTAGTAAATGGTAGCCAACGAGTGGTAGTAAATGGTAGCCAACGATTAGAATGCCGATGAAAGGTAGTTTTATAGTCAGTATTACCATCAATCAGGATTAAAAATTTGCATATTTAATTAAGAATTCGTAGATCAAAATTCGCCTGATGCAAGTAGTCAAATGTTGCATGTATTGCCTGCAGTACCGATGCCGCCTAGTTCGTTGCAGGAACTATCTGCAGAGGGTGTAACTGCATGTAATGCGCGCAAGAGGCAAATTTATCAGTTTTTTTTGCTGAATAATGACGATAAACGTACGTTCGGCGCGTTCTCTACCTAATTTGCGGAGTAGCTGCGAACTTTACTGCGAACTTTGTCAAGGATTTGTCATACGGAGAACGCATCAGATGTATGCCAGTTATTCATAAAATTGGTCTCTGCGAGATAGAGCGATCTCATCTGAATAAAGCCGGTGTACGCTCCTGATGTCCGCCGGTGTACGCTCCTGATACTCCGGGACGGTGTCCAGCACCGTTCCGAACAGGTACGGCTCCTGGACGGTTGCAGCTCATTTACATTAAGCTCGGTTGCGATCATAAAATACGTTTTCGCTCTGCCTGCGCCCCAGAGCACCAGATCCCACAGAGCGAAGGGTGCGGTTCGCAATAAACTATATCTTCCCCCTTACTCTCCTCGCTTTCGTCCCCTTACATCTTCTTCGTCTTCTTGACGACAATCTTTCCAAAGTAGCTTGGAAGCAGCTGCACAACGCTACGCGTCCGAACGCTGTCAAGGACTCACAACGACCCAGCGGACCCAGCAGCTTTCAGCTTTCGCCCAGCAGGACTTTCGACCCGAAACCATATGGGATACTGACATGGCGTTTCACGGTTCGGCATATTTTGGCATGCAGGATTTCACAGAATCCAGATCCTTGCTTAACCGTTGTCGACCCTTTCATCGTATTTCCGAGTCCGAAGCGCCTCACTAGGCACTACGGCCAAATCATGGCGCGAATCGCAAAGCAAACTGCTTAAGTTGGATTGGTAACAATCCTATGGGATCTAGAAGGCGCGCAGCGGTTTGGATAGTATAAGGTGCCTGGTTTTACGTGAGATGCAGTACGGCGGTTGAGACTCGGAAGGTCTATTCGCGGCTTCAGCTCTCCTGCCTTCGGCATTTTGCATTTCGGCATTTCGGCATTTCGGCATTTCGGCATTTCGGCATTTCGATACAGCGTCGAAAGCGGTAGTAAATGGTTTTTTTTCCCGTGAAGTTGCTCTTACAGCGGGTGTGCGACAGGGATGTCCGTTGGCACCGTTGCTATACTTGTTTGTCGCGCAGGCGTTACTGTGTTGGTTACAGTACAACCGAGTGGGGATTCATTTACCCCAAAATAATTCAGAAATGGTTACAGGTGTGCAATTTGCTGATGACACGGAAGTTGTTTTAGAAGGCATCCAAGCAATTCCGGCTTTCCTTGAATGTATGAGGGTGTACGCACAGGCTTCTGGACAGCAACTTAACCTGGATAAGGTTGAGCTGTTACCTCTCGGCACCCACCCACATCATATAACAATAAATCATGACATGAAGGTCGTACATATGGCTACGGCTCTCAATCTACCTTTTACGGATGTGGGAGAAACCACAGGCAGGGACTGGGATGTGCAACTAGACAAAGTCTGGGCTCGGTTTCGACGCATTTCGGTGTTAAATCTTTCCATTTTTGGGCGTGCACATGCAGCGGCTGCATATGGGCTGCATCGTTTTACGTGGCATATGGAACACGGGGGGTTTCCCCCAGAAGCTCAACTCATGAATATTGAGGCTAAAGCGGCCAAACTTATTGATAGGAACCTCGGACCGGTCGCACAA